ACACACATATATAAAACAATACAATCCCATTCCCCCAGTCGTCGTCGCCCCCCTCCCACACACACACACACGCATACATATATAAAATAATACAATTTCCAGTCCGTCCAGTCCATACACAGCCCCCTCTCCCCCTGCTTAACTTTTTGCACCAGGTAGGAGGCTGTGAGGAGACACGATCGCTGTTGATTGATTGGTAAGGTCTGTTTTATATATATATAAAACAATGCCAGGACTGATCAGGCTCAAATTGTGAAAGAGTGGTTCAGTGACCATGAGACTTTATTTTCATCATTGTCCCTTTTTTAGTGTTTTGTCAGCACTCACTTTGAGTTTTCAAACAGTTGCAATTTCCCATAGCAGATAGAGGTCCCTGAGCATCAGTTAGCTCGCATACATAAAGGCCTGTGGACAGCTGAGACTAAAACTAAGGTCTGGATACAAAGTAAGATGTGGACCTAGGCTTTATCCCACCAAAAGTTCTGTTCTCCATCTTGGAGCCCCTAGCCATCAGTTTGTTTTCTCTACATCAGCCATAAACCCTGGAGCTATTCACCATGTGTAGGTAAGAAACCTAGGTGATACATACAACTGTCCACAATCCTGCCAGCCTGTGCCTTACAATATTTATACATGTAAATGGATTATATAGCTATACAACTATATTTTGGATTACCTTACCTTAGTTAGTTCTCCACCTTAAAATATCATGTCCGCATAAGTTCACTGTGGCCTGGGATTTAAAAAAAAAAGGAATAAGAATACAATATTTGTGCTGAGAATAAATAATCCATTCCAAAGAAGAAGAAAAAAATCTATATAAACTTGAGTTCTGACAGTACCCATTGCTATGGTAATGAACTTCAGTCATAGGGAGACATTTATCATAGTAAGAATCACATATGTTGTATTTTCCCTCATTTTCCTCCTCTCCTTCTCTGCAGTTTATCAATATCAGAAGAGGTAGTATACTATTACACTAGAATACATTTTCATAGTTCCTATGAGCTGAAATTGATTGGTCCAATATCCTAAGCTTTTTTTACCAAGTTTACCACTGGTAAAACACAGCAGTATTGTAATTAACATTTTGATGCTGTTGGAAAATTTTACAACTTTCTCTTTTAATGATCCTCACAAATACTGCTCTTAACTGATACTCTATCAGTTATATCAAAAATCTTATCAAGCATATGTCTTTCCCTGCCCTTCCCTAGGACACATCTCAGCAAATTACCAGTTTAATGACCAGCTGGGCTGAGAAAAGGTGCCTGAATAGTGGCCCCAGTACATGATCTGCAATTGTCTATGCATCCTTTTCTGCATATTCACATATGTCATTCAACCTTGTGTATCAGGCCCTTGTTTCTGCAACAGTGTATCCCATCTATATATTGCCCTGTGTTTGTCACTGTGCTATGTAATGTGATCTGGTATTAGTTCCAATGTTCACCTGCTACCTTGGTTATGATAGTACATCTGGTACTAGTACATCTGGTACTGGTACCTGAGTACATCTGCCTGCTGCCTGCCCCAACCTCTTGTATGCACTCTGCCTGCAATGATCATTACTCCAGTATTGAGTTATGCTCTTTTGATTCTGTGCCTCAATCTAGCCTTCACAGCACAGACCAAATCTCTGCAAATAAATCCTTGATAAAGACCAGGTACTCCTTAGACTCTACAACTGACGAGAGCCCACGCCTACTGGTGGCAAAGGATTCCTACTTATCTATATACATTTAATCAAATTACAAGGAATTACCATTATCCCTAAAATTGAATGAAAATCTCTAATTTGGGGTTATCATCAGAACAAAAATAGATGGTCAGCAGGGTCCAAAAGTTCTGTGGACCCTGCTGACCAGCAGGGATTTCCCTCACTTTGGAGGAATTTTACTTTACTTCCTATTGTGGCTATTGGGCAGGAAGTGAAGGAAAATCTGCCCAGTGGTACACAGATAGCAAAAAAAAAAAGCTGGCAGGGGTTATACTCCTCCCTTACTTTATTAAAAAGGTTTTGGTTTCAGCTCAACTATCATTGAGGTCTAGTAATAAATTGTGTAAGTATTTACTACATTTATCCAAATGTGAAGATGACAAATGTAAACAGGAATGAGCTTTTTGCATAATTGGATAACTGAAGTGAATATTCACACATTGTGAGAACATTCTCAACTGCTTTAGTAAATCAGCCTGAATGTCTCATGGTTTGTACCACCTTCCAGGCTTCCTCTCTCTAACTGTTATTTCTACCATTCCCCCTGAAGTCCCCCCCATGACTTTTATTTCACTTTGACTTCCCTAGTTTGAACCCCTCCCATATGGCATGTAGATGTCACTATTTATGGTTGGTACATGTATAACACTTTCCACACTCATTACAATTTAACTGTAGTTTATGTCCATGTTAGAATATGTTCATGGATGCCTGAACTTGTTAATAAAGTCACAATAATTTTATTGAAGGTTAAAAAAAAAATAAAAAAACAAGAACCCTAACATACTGGTTTTGGGGCCACATACTGTATAATAGCATACAACATCAAGAACATTTGAATATATCAAAGAATATTTTTCCCGCTGACTTCATCCATAGTCTACTTTTATTTGTTACTAACAATGCTTTACTGATAGGATGCTGTATCTAAGAAACCACAGCGTAGTACAGTTTAGGAAGAACATGCCCCCATTTCTTTCCTGACTTACTCAGGCCATGCCTATGATAAAATATCATGGCATAATAAAGAGTTTTCATCATGAAATTAAGTCTCTGGGAAGAAAAAACTACTGCAAATGTTAACTGCTCGCATTTTCTATGGGTATTGTGTAAAGAAATGTTACTTACCTGAACCCCACTCCCATTGGCTCCAAGACTGGTGCCCGCAGCCTCATCCTTCCTATGCCCCAGTGGTCAGAGGCCTTCTGACATCATCATGTACAATGCAGGGCCAACAGGCCTACATTATATTTGAGGACACCAAGGGACAGTCCGCAAGCCAGAAAAGAGGGGAGAGTGGTGAGCATTGGTCAGATAAGTAAAAGTCCTTTACACGCTCTCCTAGACATAGACGAGCGGTTAAGGGTTACAGTGCGGGGGTAGCCCCACTGCAAGGGGAGTTTTTTCCCCCTAGAGATAGGCTTTTAACAGTTGCTGCCATAAAGAAGTGGCTCTACTGGCTTCTGGCAATTTAATTTTTATCAATTAGTGGTTATTGTAATGCTGACATCCAACCAACACTTAAGTATAACAAGTGAGAATGGCACAATGTATTATAAAATCCATAATAGAAAAGGATGATAAAAATCTGAATATACCAAACTGGAAAACAGTAGAGTATGTTTGTATTTCGATAGTATTAAGAAACGTAAAACAACTGGATATAGGTTAATGGAGTTCAATGTTTGTAAAAAGAAAAATAGTGGCTATAACAAATGAAAACTAGCTAACAAAGCACACATTGAAATGCAGAGCTGTGTCCATCGGTCTAGCATAATAGCTGCTGATTGATCTTCTGAAAAAGCCCTATAGCACTTAATACTGTATACTAGAATCAACAAATAACCAGTGATGTGTGATGGTAAACTTCCCTGTGAAAGGGTTTTAGTGCTTTTTGAATAAAAGAAGAATTATGGGGATTGCACTCAATGTTACTGCTCATAAAATGACCTTTTCACTTGCAGTGAATAGATGCAGAAATGTGAAAAAGGAATCCAAGTGGACCTGACTTCAAAAAGAAAATATTTGCCTTGTTTTGGAGAGCATCTAGAAATGTTATTTGTGCCAAAGCACTATCCTGAAAAAATGACCTTTTGTCTACAATTTCTTCTGAATAAATAGTAGGGATGCACCGATACCGATACTAGTATCGGTATCAGTGCTGAGTATTAGGGCGATATTTATTTTCTGGTACTCTCCGATACTGAATACCAATACCGGAAGTCCCATTAGGGAAGCCAGGCGGCTTGTAAAGACCCGCCACCCGGCTTCCCAATTAGCAAGGAAGCCGTCTCCAAGCTCCTTGCAACCCGCTTCCCGGCCAATCAGAAAGCCTTTCGCCGTGTAGTGACTCGTTGTCTGGCTTCCTGATTGGCCAGCTTCTCGACCAATCAGGAACCTGGGCAATGAGTCATCACACGGCACCCAGCTTCCTGATTGGCCAGAAAGCCGACTCCATGCTTCCCTGCTAATCGGGAACATGGAGAAGGCTTCCCTGCTAATCGGTAAGCCGGACGGCAAGTCTTTACGAGCCGCCCGGCTTCCCGGCTAATCAGGAAGCCAGATGGCGAGTCATTACATGCCGACCGGCTTTCTTAATGGGATTTCCGGTATCTGTATTTAGTAACGGAGAGTACCGAAAAAAAATATTGGTACCCGTGCTTGATACCGAAAAACCGCTATCGGTGCATCCCTAATAAATAGCAATGTAATTCTTGTACCTTTAGCCTCATAGCTGTATATCTGCAGTGTGAGATCTAAGGCACTGCTGCCTCTAACAGTTAGTCTCAGGAGATTTGGTGACATCACTACTGTGATACTCTCTGTTCTCCGCACGGTAAAGGAAACGGTATGCTTCCTCCTTCTCTCCTGCTGCCGCTTGATCATTCCTCCATCAGTCATTAGAGCACCAGTTATTAAGGGGGCAGCTCTGACAAGAGGAAGCAAAGCCCTGATCCTCTACCAAGATGGCCACCTTCACACACAACAGAACAAGGCATGGTATTTCATTACTGGGGAAACAATCAACTGAAAGAGGACCACAGACAAAACTGGTGAATAGTACTTTGTTCTCTTCTTGCGCTTTTTGGGCAGAGCTTCCAGTTTAGATTCTCTTTTCTTTTTTTACACCAATGCTGTGCGATTGACGTATGGTAACGCACAACGCATCTAGCGTTGCATTGGGGTGCCATTCATTTGAATGCACCTCCCGGCTCCAATGCACTACTCAAGGCTAACTTTACCTTTCTGACCATGTTGAATGTTACACCCATATTTACTGTAAGGTGTAACATGAAACATCATATCGCAACCCCCCTCCCCACTTACCTGAATTGTGGGTTTCTTCTCCCCGCATGTTGCTGCTGTTGTTTGAGATTGGAGTGGCTGTGCATGGCTACGCCCACACATCTATGTCATCCATTCACAGATCCTCTGACAGGATCCTGTCTGAGGATCTGTGAATGGAAAAACTACAAGTCCAATCAGCCACTGCAGCAGAGGGACTGGTGGTTCTCAATGGAATACAAGTCCGGTGATGTAAATTACACTTCCTTCTGTTCATGCTTCTGAATGTCCACACCTTGGTAGACGGGGGTCTGCAGGAGCCAGAGCATTGCACCCATGATCCACTGATCGCGGTTGCAATGCTTTACCACCTCCTATACCAGAAAAATAATACAGTACATGTTTTTCTTTTATGGAGAAGTGTGCATTTGTAATTTTTTTACCCATTTTATACAAATAAGCTTTATAGGCGTTTTTAACAGCAACAAACAAAGCATATTCATTTTTCTGTAATCACATCAGAGAAAGCTTAATTATGATTGGCTGCTAAAGGGTAATGCATTTCTGAGCACTGCTGTTTGTCTTATTAAATACACCTGACTGGTATGTTCCATATCATTCATACACATTATTCCTTACATAAACATCCAAAAACAAATCCATGCATGGCACAAGTATGAAATTACACTTGATAACTATTAATATACATAAATGGAAATACATGCTAA